AACACTTCCTAATACCATACACAAACATAAACTCAAAATGGATTAAAGACCTAAATGTAAGGCCAGACAGTATAAAGCTTAGAGGAAAACATAGCAAGAACACTCTTTGACATAAATCACAGCAATATCCTCTCTGACCCACCTCCTAGAGAAATGGAAATAAAAACAAAAATAAACAAATGGGACCTAATGAAACTTAAAAGCTTTTGCACAGAAAAAGAAACCATAAACAAGACAAAAAGGCAACCCTCAGAATGGAGAAAATATCTGCAAACGAAGCAACTGACAAAGGATTAATCTCCAAAATATGCAAGCAGCTCACACAGCTCAATATCAAAAAAATAAACAACCCAATCCAAAAATGGGCAGAAGATCTAAATAGACATTTCTCCAAAGAAGATATACAGATTGCCAACAAACACATGTAAGGATGCTCAGCATCACTAATCATTGGAGAAATGCAAATCAAAACTACAATGAGGTATCACCTCACAGTGGTCAGAATGGCCACCATCAAAAATCTACAAACAATAAATGCTAGAGAGGGTGTGGAGAAAAGGGAACCCTCTTGCACTGTTGGTGGGAATGTAAATTGATACAGCCGCTATGGAGAACAGTATGGAGGTTCCTTAAACAACTAAAAATAGAACTACCATATGACCCAGCAATCCCACTACTGAGCATATACCCTGAGAAAACCATAATTCAAAAAGAGTCATGTACCACAGTTTTCACTGCAGCACTATTTACAATAGCCAGGGCATGGAAGCAACCTAGGTGTCCATCGACAGGTGAATGGGTAAAGAAGATGTGGCACATATATACAATGGAATATTACTCAGCCATAAAAAGAAATGAAATTGAATTATTTTTAGTGAGGTGGATGGACCTAGAGTCTGTCATACAGAGTGAAGTCAGTCAGAAAGCAAAAAAGAAATACCGTATGCTAACACATATATATGGAATCTAAAAAAAATAAAATAAAATGATTCTCATCAACCTAGGGGCAGGACAGGAATAAAGATGCAGACGTAGAGAATGGAGTTGAGGACATGGGGATGGGGACGGGGAAGGGTAAGCTGGGACGAAATGAGAGAGTAGCACTGACATATATACACTACCAAATGTAAAATAGATAGCTAGTGGGAAGCAGCTGCATAGCACAGCGAGATCAGCTTGGTGCTTTGTGACCACATAGAGGGGTGGGATAGGGAGTGTGGGAGGGAGACACAAGAGGGAGGGAATATGGGGATATATGTATACATATAGCTGATTTACTTTGTTATACAGCAGAAACTAAGACAACATTGTAAAGCAATTATACTCCAATAAAGATGTTAAAAAATATGTAATATTAAAAAAAAAAGAATAAGGAAAGGAGAAAGCAGGTGGCAACTGAACTGGACTGCAGATGGCAAGGCTGAACTGCTAAGCAAGTACTCAGAGTCAGAGCTTCTTACTTGTATAAAGAACCAAAAGTGAATGCACTGTCGAGGGGCAAGTGCTCAAACATGCATAGTATCAATGAAAGTTGGAGCCAAAGAGCTTGCCAAGGCCTGCCTCTGCCCTTCCAAGGATCCTGGAACAGCTCCCGCTATGTTTCCAAAAGGGAGACTGCCATCAGGAACCAGTAAGTATAGAGGCAAATTCTCCTTTGTGCTTCCTTCTGGGCATGGCACTTAAAAAATTCCCTAGAGTCTGTATCTGGCATAAATTAGGGTGTTAAAGCCCAGTCCCCAAATTGTCAACCCTTAAGCCACACATCTATTCTATATGAGACTACTGATCCTGGCTATTGCACAGCCTCCCAGGAGCGCAAATGAAAAATCAGGTGGTTGGCTGTGGTCAAAGTGGACATGTCTACTGCACCTTAAGTAAGAGAGATTTACTCTCATTGAGGCAGAGGAGATTCTTCTAGAGGCACCATTTAGACTCCAGTACTTTTCCTGCTTACTGAATATACAGTGATTACAGTCTCTCTAGCTAAAGGATGATGACAATCACTCTATGAGATAGCTTTTTAGATGTGGTTTTTTTCTTTTTTAACTCTCAAGCCCCTCGGAAGCTGAGGCCATTCATGTTCTCAACTTTCTAAAGAGGGAACCCAGGAAACAGGTTAGGCTCTAAATGATGGGAAAAAACTAAAGCTCAGAGAGGGAAGCAACTAGTCTCATTCACCTGGGACACAAAGAAACCCTGGATTAGGGCTGGGAGCCCTTTGACAACAGGCATGAACTCTTTTAAGTTCAGCTCAGCACTAAATCAGACTTGAGTGATAGGACCAGAAAGAACTTTTGTAACTGTTTTGTCATTCGTATGCAGGATGGTGGTATCCACATTCAATGAGCCCAGGCTAATAACTTTGTTTTCTAGGTAAGGCTCTTTCACAAATGGGTCTTGTAACAAGGAAAAGACCCAAATCTTCCTAATCTAGCACTGGTCACACAATTTAAAACCATGTAGAGTTTTACACGCAATTCAAAACCATGTATGTAGGGTTTTAAAGTACCAGGCCCTCATGGCGAAAGTATAACAGTGGTGAAGAAATGTCAGTCCTCCCAACAAGGCAGCCTGTATAGCATGTACTTGATGATTTGCAAAAAAGTGGCTCAGAAAAGCTTTTCAGAAGGAAATGGTCAGCAGTATTCATTAGCCCTTCACACCTGCAGGTTTAACTATTTGGTTAGTTCTTCATTTTTCCTTCCTGCTTAAAGCCACTGGCTGCTTAGCTATTAAGGTCAGAATCTAAACAGAGACCCTTCCCTCCCCCACCATACTTTTTCATTTTAACTCTCTGCTTCAGAGTTTCACTTCCTGTATGACAGGGTTTAAGCACCTACTGAACAGATCTTCCAATGGATAACAATAATCAACTTTTGACAAAATACAAAAAAGCTACCAAAGTCATTGGACACTGAACAAAAAAAGCAGGCAAATTCTGGAAAGAGGCTGAAACTTAGAAGGGAAGGGTACAAGGTGAGTTTCCCATTTTTATGGCTTTTAGGCTAACAGAAAACTGCTGTCTTTCTGGCTGAAGAAACAGAGGACACCACAGAATCAGAGCAACCACAGCTGCTGGAAAGTGAGGATAGAAATCTCAGAAGATGGAAAGGCAAAAAAAGAGAGCTCCAAATTCTGTGTGTAAAATCTACCCAAATCTCTAGCTGACTCCTGAATCATATATGGGTGGGGCAGGCTCCAGCTAAAGATAAAATAATTGGGATTTGCGCTGTTATCCAAGACACAGTTTACAGTTTGAGTTCAATGAAGTTAAACGCCTGCTAACACAGACAAAAAACATCAGCACTCTACAGAGGAATATAACAGAATCCACAACATTAACATTTATAACATGCAGGATACAATCTAAATTTACTCAACATTTGAATAACCAGAAAACTGTGATTCTTTTTCTAGAGAAAAGACAAATAGAGACCAACTTTGAGATGATTCAGATATTAGATTTAGCAGAAAAGGATTTTAAAGCATTTATTATAATGATGTTCAAAAAAGTAAAGGAAAACATGCTTGTAATGAATAAAAACAGGAAATCTCAGCAGAGGAAATAAAAACCCATGGTTACTGATGTTCTGATGACAAGTGAGATGAGAATTAGAAAATAACTCATATTCAAAAGTACCTCTGCTTAGTTGGAGATTTTTGTTTCAAATGACTTATTTGTACCAAAACGAAATTGAAAATTGCTGACTGACACTAGATGGTTAGTTCTGGGAGACCTGAATGGAGAGGTAGAAAGAATATAGGGAAGTTTAGTAGGGATATTTTATATACAGGTATTTTCATTTAGAGATGATGTGAAGGACAGGGCTTTTCTGTCTAGGATTCCTGATATTTAATACCAGGCCTGCTACTGGTTCCTACATGGATCAAATTTTTCTTTCAGAAGGTAAAACAATGCTGTGAAATACTCCTACCAGGCATCTAAAAGAGGCAGGCTACAGAAAAGAGGAAGTGTTCTTATAAGGAGAAAAGTGATGTTCAGAGAGAAAGCAGAGAGAGCATCAAAGTCTTGTCTTCCAAAGTGATTCTGCTGTGGAATTACTAAAAGGAAGTATTTGGAAGAGTTATTCCCAAGTCCATTTTGGGTCTCATACTGGTTCCTTGTGTAGTATGAGATGCATACTTCAGAAACAGAGCCAGGGACCTCCCTCGTGGTGCAGTGGTTAAGAATCCACCTGCCAGTGCAAGGGACATGGGTTCGAGCCCTGGTCTGGGAAGATCCGACATGCCAGGGAGCAACTAAGCCCATGCACCACAACTACTGAGCCTGTGCTCTAGAGCCCTCGAGCCACAACTACTGAGCCTGTGCGCCACAAATACTGAAGCCCGTGCACCTGGAGCCTGTGCTCTGCAACAAGAGAAGCCACCGCAATGAGAAGCCTGTGTACCGCAACAAAGAGTAGCCCCTGCTCGTCGCAAATAGAGACAGCCTGCGCACAGCAATGAAGACCCAATGCTGCCAAAAGTAAAGAAAGAAAGAAAAAAAAAAGGAAACAGAGCCAGCTTTCCAACCCCACAGATTCCTGGTACTCTCAAAAGCAGGACATGATAGGAAAGGGCACAAATCATTTCCTGGATAAAACAACAGGTCTCAACTCAACACAAAAAGTGACAATAGCCACAATAAGAAAGAACAAGCCTGAAATTGTTAGCTTGGAAGTGGAGGGGATAGTTCCTCTGGCACTGAGGAGTATGATTATTTGATTCAATTAAATCACATAAACAATGTCCAAAATAATAAAATAAAATTTCCCTAGGATGGTTCTGAGCAACTCTGTAATGTGCACCAACTAAACTCAGTTTTCAGCGTTAAAATGGACCAATGACTCTCTGAGCTAAGCCACTCAATCTGAAACAGAAAAAAAAAAAAAAAAAGTAAAGCAGAACTTCAGAAGTCTTCTTTTTATCAACATTTTCCACTATAAAGCTGGCCACATCATCATCTAATGATATAAAATTCTAGAAACTTTACAAAATTCCTTTTTAAAATTTATTTTTTGTTATCAAAGAGAATGTCCGGAAACATTGAGTACTAAAGAATCTGTTCATGGTATTGTTTTACAAAAGTTCCTAATGGAGTATGAATATTTTATTTTCTGTTGTATCCTTCACTTATTAATGATGAGGTGGATGAACTGGTACAATTACTCAAAAAAAAAATTCCAGACAAAAACATCCATTCTCATTCTGAATCTGTTGATTGGAGTGAATTCAGTGGTTACAATACCACCACTGGCTAAGAATCAAGCTCCCCACAGGAGGGAGCTATTTGAGTCATCTCATTAGGTCACATAGGTCTCTCAGATATAGGCACCATGTTTGAAGTCTCACACAAAATGTCTGTGTCACTTAAATTACACAATGTGGCAGTGTTTGTTTCATGGGGACATAATCTTGAAAGAACGGGTGAAGTAGAAAACAACCTGTTTGTATGTTATACGTGAGTACATTATCGGACTGTGCATGGTTTTGAGGGCACGGTAGCCCTTGTTAAAGAGGAATTCCACCAATGAAGCATCTGTCAGATCCCAGCTGCTCCTGGCGATGAGGGTGTTGACTCATTTAACCATGAGTTGTTAGGTTGGGGCCTTCGTCATCTACTGTTTGGCTCAAATGGTTTGAACTGAGTTTGGTTGTCGTTCTCATCCATCTAAGCTTTATTTCTCAGCCTCAGGATATGTGGGGTACTTGACTGTTTCTATCTTCTCTCGAACTTTGTAGGAGGGATATAGGCCCGTCCTTCCCAGTTTTCTGTTGACACCTTTAGAATAGCCATCCCAATGATTTCCAGCCACACCAATGATATCTCCAGGTTCCATGGGGATTTCATCTGCAGTTCGAGGTTGGTGAGGATAAATGGCAATCTGGTTGTGGGCATTTTGACCTCCAAAATAGTAGATGTCATCCAAAGAATGGAAGTTTGCAGAGGCATCGGGATGCAGTGTTTGCATGATTTCATAAGCAACTCGGCAGACCTTGGGAAAGTATGAAAAAAAATTGGTTAGTACGTGTAAGATCTCCTTCATAGCAATCCGAAAGCTCTTGGCCAAAGAGACTAGGACTAGACTAGGACCAGGACTGAGAGAGTGGGAAGCAGTGGATTCTAGTCACAGGTTTTCAGTCCATTTGCTCTCAGATGATGGTACAAGTCATTCTTCATTTCTGTGCTTGTATCTTTTTTTTTTAACATAAAAGATAATTACAATTAAGATCTCTCAGAGAAAAAAAGTATGTGTATATACAGTGCAAAGTATTTTATGAATATGAATTCATAAATTTATATTTATTAAAATATAAAATTTTAATTTTAATAAAAATTTATTAAGAGCCACAGAGTGTTCCATGTTGGGCACTAGTGGTACAAAAATGAGTAAGACACAGTCTATGCCCTTGGTGAATTCAAGGTTTAGGATTAGAATCAGGATTATAAACACTTTACACAAATGCTGCTGCTCCCTTTCCTTCATTCAGTGTTAATAAATCACATACTCTTTTCTGCTAATTTGGACTTGGTCTCAGAACTCTTCTCAACCGAAATTCATGTAATTACTGACAATCAACTATTGCCAAATGAGCTAAAATATATGTGCCACTTCTGTTCTAAAGTGTGATGTGTGTGATGTGTAGACAGTAGTATCTAGACTGAAATCAGATGAACTAGCCTTTGGGGACGAGGCATCTACCTGATGCACTTAAGGCTACTTAAAAGATTCCTCTGTCCAAAAAATACCTACCATTCCCACTGTATGGCAGCTGGAATTCCACAATCTGAGCTTCATTCCTTGAGCTTCATACTTGGTGATAAACTATAACTATCTTAACGGACGTATAAGATTTTAAGCAATTAACAAATATATTCATTATAGAGTAAATGGGTTTCAGAAACTTTTCTAACAATAGGTGAAGACCAAAGAGAGAATACTATCATTTTGCTTAGAAAATTCTTCCATTATACACTGTGAACACAGGACTCAACTCAGGTCAATTTTCCTACATCTCCAGTTGTAGTTACCTCCGTTAATGAAGTTTTATTGTCCCTACACCAATACTTTTGCACATATTTAAAATGATACTAATAGTAATTGTTAATCTGCTCAGTGGAGCAATTTAGGATTACCCAGCAGTTCTTTAAAACTTTGGCATTCATCATATCAAAAACTGAATTCTTAAATGTTATGAGCAAATGGAATCTGATTAGGTTAATCATCAACTTAACTCCTTAAAAAGTCTGAATTTTAGGAACCCGAGGGGCGGTTTTCACACACTGTATGTAATTTGTAAATGAAACTAAGTTTAGATAGTATTTTTAATTTTGCAGATAGGGACTAAAATACAAGGAGATCTGCCCAAATTCTAGTGCTAGAATTTCAACTAGACATGGAACCAAGAAAATAACTTTGCTTTCAAATTCTCTGCTTCATCAACAAACTAATTTTATATTGGTACGATTGAGATCACTGGTAGAATACTGAAACTATAACAAAATGAGGCTAAAAAAGATATGGAACTTGAACTTCAAATTCAGCCAAAGGCCCACACAGCACAAGCAAAATCAAGTTAAGCCTTTGGAAAGAAACTAAATAATTAAAACAAAGCAGCTCCAATAATAGCAAAGTACAATAACAATGATAGAGGCATATTTACTGAGTTTTTTCTGTCAGACATTGTTTCTAGGTCTAATTTAATTGTCAGCAGCCCCATAAAATTTTATCATGCTCGTTTTATGGATGTCAAAGGTCAGTTAAGGAATATGCTCAAGGTTACACTACTATTAAGTGGCATATTCAGGTTTTGAACCCAGGCAGTCTGTGTATGCTTGTTAACTGCTAAGCATATTTTTTCTTGCAGATCCTATTCTCCATGTTCACATTTTAATAGCAGAAAGATATAACTTAAGGCCAAGGCTGGCCTTGGGAAAACCTGAGAGTCTTATATTCAGGGCCCCTCCACCCACTTTTCAATTATCCCTACCCAGGGATGCAAGACCTTGTACTGTCCTTTGGATGACCACAATGCCCACCGTGGCAATGAACCCTAATGTGTTTCCTCCTTTCATTAATAAACTTCTCACTCTCATAAAAACAACACTGCCCTCAGTCCCATACCCTTAGGGATGTGCTTTCTTTTGGGGTAACCCTAATAATCAGTTTATGTTTTGGTATCAATAGCTGTTGATGTATTAGGCTGCTGGATAACACATGTACTTTCTTTCTGTTGTTTTTTTTTTTTTTTTTTTTTTTTTTTTTTTGGT